CATCGTGGTTATATACATTCTGGTGGGTTGTAAACGGTGGGCCGTGATTGGTTGTAAATGGTGGGCCGTGATTGGTTGTAAACGGTGGGCTGTGATTGGTTGCTTTTGGACCAATCATGAGGTGCCAGATATGCAAATTTGAGTGATTCTAGTGGCCAATCAGAGCAAGGTTTCGAAGGTCAGGTTTTTGGAAGGGAACCAATCATGGTAATTGTTTGCTCTCTGAGAAACCTCGGCAGACTCGCTGGTGTGCAGCTTCCCACACCCTTCAGTAATACTAGTAAAGAACTTATAATGCCCTCAGTCTGAAAAATTCTTGGATATTCTAATCACTGTGGAATCTTTTGTCTTTAAGGGTCACTGGCCAGGTTTGGTAGAAAACAAGGTAAAGAAATGAGCTTTTGTATAAACTATGATAAATTTGTGGCAGGACGTTTCTGAAAAGTGAAACATTTAGTAATGTCCTCTAATGACCCAAGTGCTAGAAATAAGGGAATTTATCAACCAGGAAGTGTAACTTGGGACTAGATAGATAAAGAAATAATAGTTATTCCTATAGAGATACATGGACAGCATTGCATAATGACCGCTGGAATTGATGTCTATAAAACCTTTAGCACAATATCTAGGATGTGGTTCTGTCTGCAAACCACGTGTAATCCAGAAATTACTGAACTATGGCAACCTCTAGTTATCACCTACATCACAAGGATATGAGATAAATGAGAAAGGTGATTTCTGTTAGGAATGAATGGAGAAGCATAGTGACTTAGGATAAGAATATTGTTAGGGTTGGGACCAGCAGATAGCCTAATGGTTACATTACTGGACTCCCATATGGTTGACCATAGTTCGAATCCCGGACCCAGTGGCTTAAAACTCATGCTGGGCACGTGTGTGTACATGCCCAAAATCCTGAGAGGAGAATGGAGGAGAAGGGATTGCGGTTGCAGCCATCCCCCCGGGGTATGATTTCTCGCTGTCTCTCTGTCTCTCCCATGAGTGCATGTACATATAGCAAAAATCTGTCACACATACACACACACACAAAAAAAAAAAAAAAAAGAAAGAAGAAAAAGAAAGAAAGAAAAAGAATAGAGTTAGGGTATAGGCCCAAAATGGAATCACAAAAGAGCTAAGTCTTGAGATGAAGACAGCTGCTAGGCTGTTGCTGAACTCCTTGCACACAGAGATTGTTTGCAGCGGTGGCTCAATGATCGTTCTAGGAAGCATTATCTAGAGCAAAGAATTAAGGATTTTTTTTCCAGGCTTCACCATATTCCAGGAGGAAGAGAAAATAATGATTTTTATGACCCAAATCTTTAGACGAAGAATCTTCCAAACTTCATACCCACTCCAAAACTAAGAGACCCATCTAGCTTGTGGCCCCTGAGCCACAAGAGGAATGCATGCTTAAAAGAATGAGCCCAGACAATGCCCCCCATTACCAAGATAAAAACCCTCCACCCCAGTTCCTCCTTGGCAACCTATTTTCTCCCTGCTTGGGAGCTCTATTCTTCCTTCACTTTCTTAAAAACTCTGTTTGGTATCCCCTTTGTGTCTGCATCTCTAATTCTTCATGAGCATGAGACAGGAATCTATGTCTTGCTCTGGGTGCTGAGCCTGATTACACCTGCACCTCTGTATCCCTGTGGCAATAATATGATTCTCTCTCTCTCTCTCTAATTCTCTCTTTTTTTTAGAGAGAGATTTTTGCTATAGGCACATGCACTCACCAGAGTGACAGAGAGAGACCGAGAGATAGAAAGTGAGAAGTTACCCCCCAAGGGGGATGGCCACACCACAATCCCTTCTATTCCATTCTCCTTTTGGGATTTGGGCATGCACGCACACACACCCAGCGTGAGTTTCAAGCCACCAGGTCAGGGACTTGAACTGTGTTGGCCATATGGTGAGTCCAGCGACATAACCATTACACCATCGGCCGGTCCCAATAGCAGGATTTTAACTGTTTTGGTCAGCTTCAGCAATATGGCAAACAAAGGACATTTATTTCATTGATAGAATAATGAATATCAGACTCATGTAAACAATGATCCCTATGATGAGAAAATACTGTGTATCAGTAGATTAAAATCTATGCCTTACTGCCACTTAGTAAATTTGGGGAAAAGCTTCATTCACTTAGAATCTGCAAATTGGCTCTTCAATGGCTTTTACAAACCTCAAAAAAGCAGCTTTAGCTATTATATTATAAAAAATGTTATAAAGTGATACTGAGCCTGAGCAATTTGGTCAACTGAAGAAGCATAATTAGGATATGATGGGTCAAGAAAGGTTTGGAGTAATATTCTTCCCTTACCTAATGGCTTTCAAAATAATGGTTCTGATACAACTGGAGGAAGGGTCCATGGGAACTTTTGATGTTCAGATTCTGTTTAGCATTTATATATTTATTCTTTCAAGTAGGCTAACCGTTTGGTTGGTATGGTGACAAAAATCATGCTTATTTTATTCTCTTTTTCTGTTCATACATAATTTCAGACTTAAAAAAAAAATTCTGACAGAAAAAAATGACTGTTTCCAAATCACAGTACATAATTTCCTTTCTAAACCATAGAGTTTGCAAGTGCTTTATCAAAATTTTATGAACAATAGAGTTGTATAGATTTCTTGGTCCACATGTTTTCTGTTAAGTGTAAGAAGGAACTAAGTTTATTTATTTTGTTTGTTTTTTATTTAAAGCAGTGCTCATCACAAAAAAATTGTAGCAAATATATTAAGAAAATGTGGCACCTCTGAAATAATGAAAATTGATAGTTTTTGACCAAGGAAGTGACAACAAAATTGATGCCTTCTTAAATGATAAAAGGTGATCTTATAAATTATAGGAGTAAAATTTCTGTATTTGGTGCATTTATAGAGAAAAACTAGATCATGGGCCATAGTGTTACAATCTGAACATTTATAGAATTATTCTGATTTCCTCCATTTTTCTCAAAACTTTTGATGATAAAATATGGATTTACAGTTTCAAAGCACTTCTATCCAGTAACTTATTGACTTTTAATGAAAATTAAATATATTGGGTTGTAATAAAAGCCATGACTCATTTTAGCATAGAAAAACAAGAAAAATATGTCATGACTCTCCCAACAAACCAATATCATATATAGTCTAACGGTTATGAAAGGTTTTTATTTATTACTAGCATAAGATTTACTAATCTATAGACTATATGAATCAACAAAATCATCAGAGAGATTATTCCAAAGTAGAAATATCATTGTAGCTAAAGTTGTCTTCGTTTTAGTTTTTCCTACACTTTACACACCTGTTGGCTCTCCGTTTTGTATAAATAGAAACAAAATATTTATATCTGATTATGTTTATGTCAAATATTGTAATCAGTCCCAATCTCCTTCCACCTATTTGAATAACATATATTTCAGATTTAATGTGACATGAAATAAGGGGTAAATGGGGAAAATGACCTAATCTCTGAGAGTTCTTTTTCCAGAAAAAGTAAAGAAAATCATTATATTGCTTTCTTCCTACTTATGGTGACAATGTGAGAAGTGAGTCTTGACTAAGAAATTGATTGAAGGTAACAAAAAACTCTTATTTCAAAGCTTCCCCCAGCTACTGTGTAAAGATGGCAGCAGTTCTGGTCTTCAGAAGGTCAGTGATTGTGGGCCTCATCTATTGTTCCTGGCCACAGGCCTGGCCTACATCATATACCATTATGGTTATATGGGCTCTATAGAGACTACTTGCCTTTGTCATTATTGTGCCAAGTCTCCATAAATAAATTGATATTGCTGTATTCCAATAAATCTGTATGTTACCATAAAAATCTTATTAAAAAAATAACTTTTTTAAGAGAGATTTTTGCTATAGGCCTTTTTAAATTTAATTTTTTAATTTACAAAAATAGGTGGTAGGTTTGGCCTGTGGGCCATAGTTACTGATGTGTGGTCTAGAAACGAAAAGATAAAGAAAGGAGAACTGAAACAGCTCTGCCTTACAGTGTAAAGTGTCATCTCTACTTACGGACCTGGGACACCTGAAAAAGTTATGTTATTGCTATTATTGTAAATATCACAGGATGAAAATTTTTAGGTTTTGCCTTAGGAGGTTCGTGTGTGTGTGTGTGTGTGTGTTGGTGTTATTAGCTAAAGAGAGTTAAACAAAGGCACTATTTACAGAGGTGCGGGAGGTTGGAGGTGACCATAAAGGTTTGGGAAAGTCCCCTGGACTGGGAACCAAAGGAAGCTCTTTTCTTTGTGTTAGAAGAAGACAGGGCCTGTGGAAAATTGATCAGAGCTAGAACTCTAAAGTGTGGGGTACCTTACATGATGCGGCTCAAGAAGAACACAGGCACTTTGAAAACTATGAGAAATGTGGCCGCTGTGTCCTTCCATTCCTACTCAGCATGTCCGTAACCTCTTGCTGGTACCTTCCATGGACTGACACAAAGTAGAAGCCAGAAGGCAAGAGAACTCATGTGATGCAGTGTCTCTTCCTTCGTGTTTTATTTTCCTTTTTAAATTGCTGGAGTGCACATGCACGCCAGAGAGAGAGAGAGAGAACCTCTGCTGTGGGGACTGGTCATGTTACAATCCCTTCTGGTTCTTTTCTCATCTTGTTGAAATTTTGAGCAGCAATCATATATGCCTGGAGTGTTTTCAACCTGCCCTGGACTGTGGACAGATTCAAACTGCAGTTGGTTGTACGGGATCCAGCTCTCTGAAGCACTAGGGTACGGGAGCCAGCCCATGATACAATTTCTAACTAATATCAGTCGTCTATGACACACAAGAATAAAAAGGCACACCGGGAGTGTGAAAGTATTCTAGTCTATTCTGTTGCTGATAACAGATGATACCTGAGTCCGGGTAATTCCTAACAATAGAGGTTTATTTAGCCCCACAGTGTGGAGACTCACAGTTGAGGGACCACATCCAGTGAGGGCAATGTAAGTCACAGTCTAAGGCCGAAAGCATGAGAACCCAAAAGGGCCACTGGTGTGACTCTTGGAGTCCAAAGGCCAGCAAATCTTGAGTCCAGATGCCCAAGACAGTGGAAATCTATCTCGCTCTCTCTCCAAATTTAAACCCATCTGACTTTTGCATTTGTTCTCTCTGTCACCCCTTGTGATTGGATCATGCCTATGGCAGATCTTCTTCACCTAGGCTACACAGCCTGACATGTTAATAATCTCTCCCAGAAACCCCCCATAGAAATGCGTTATCAGGTAGACGGAAAATCAAAAGCAAGGTCTGGAAGCAGAAGTATATTTTACATGTTGGAGTAATGGCAGCTGACCAGTGTGCCTGGAATGGAGAAGAGATGTACTGTACAGTTGTGGGTGAGGCACAAGATCGTTCCAGGCCTCAGGCTTCACAGGCCTTTGATAAGTCTTAGAAGTACAGAGTTTTGTTGTTGTAGTTTTTTGTTTTTTGAAACGTTCATTGCTCTAAGCAAAGGCTTCTGCTACCATCTCCACCCCAAAGTAAAATAAAAGCTCTCTGTATTACCACTAGTCAGCCCAAGGGAGACTTACAACTAATCTGCTCATGCCTATTTTCCTATTTTATTATAGTCTGCACAAACTCAGTACTCACAGATCATTGCTCATTTTCCACTCTCCAAAAGAAAAGCTTGCCAATGTGCCTTTTGGAATTCATGGTTCCTTCTTACAAAAATACTCTTTATTCTCATCCTTTTCTGCCCATCCCTGGTACAGACTAAAAGCTGGCTCTCCTGTGGACACGGATTCCCTTACTTCTCTTTCAATAGTCTTTCTTTCCCATAAGCCTTATAAACATGGCCCTGGAAAGTAGTGGTCATTCTGACCTTTCCTCTCTGTTTCTAAATAATTGTTCTTTTTTTTTTTTTTGGAGAGGTTTTTGCTATAGGGCACATGTACTTGCCAGAAAAAGAGACAGAAAGACAGAAGGAGAAATCACCTCCCAGGAGTGATGGCCACACCTCACCGTAATCCCTTCTCCTCCATTCTCCTCTTTGGATCTTGGGCACGCACACACACACGCCCGGCATGAGTTTAAGCCACCAGGTCTGGGACTCGAACCACGGTCGACTACATGGGAATCGAATCCAGTGACATAGTCATTATGCCAACTGCTGGTCCCAATAATATGTATCTACATAAGTCAAATCTATAAACTATATCAGATCACTAGTATGTTTGTCACCAGGTTTTTTTAAAAAAATAAATTATGACAATGAGAATAAAGTCATATGGGTTGTGAGTTTAAATCATTAAGGTAAAACTAAAGCAAAACATAGTTCATGTTAAGAGTTTCATCACAACTAATGACCTCTGAAACAATGCACTGCCACTGTCAGCTGGCAGGGCATCAGGTATTGTAGTATCAAGATTTTCTTTTTTTTTTTGGAGAGGTTTTCGCTATAGGGCGCACACGCTCACCAGACAGAGAGAGACATAGAGACAGAAAGCGAGAAATCACCCCCCCTAGGGGCGATGGTCACGCTGCAATCCTTTCTCCTCCATTCTCCTCTCGGAATCTTGGGCACACACGCACACGTGCCCAGCGTGAGTTTTAAGCCACCAGGTCTGGGACGCGAACCGAGGTCGACTACGTGGGAGTCCAGCGACATAGCCATTATGCTAACTGCTGGCTTCCATATTACGATTTTTAAAATACGCGTTATCAATAGGCTTCAGGTCCCGATCCATACTGTTTACAGCAGAAATACATAGGTAAATTGTGTGTATTTGTGTGTATCTCACATTAGTTGCGGGTTATTGTAAACCTGTTGCTGAGCACGGCAACCCTAAAGTTTTTTGTTTTTTATATTTGTTTCCTTCCCTGCTTAACAAAATAGGACTACTTGGGAAGGTAGGCATGAAATTAAAGAATGTAAGGTAATGAGTTTTTTGAGGTGGGTGCTATAAGGTATTTTTTTGGGGGGTTGGTTTTTGAAGGTGTTTGCCGTAGGGTGCGTGAGCTCCTCCAGAGACAGAGGGAAAATGAGAAATCAGCCCCGAGGAAGGACGGCGACACCGCAGTCCCTTTTCGTCTCCTCTAGGGATTCTGGGCATGCACAAGCGCCCGGCGTGATTCTCAAGCTCTGGATTCAGGACTCCATCCCTGGGGCCATCCAGCGCCGTAACCACTGCCACCTGCCGGCCCCCAGCGCTATAAGGCTTTAGAATCCCACTTTTTCACTACATATTTGCATTTAGGCACCGACTTCTTCCACCTCTAGGATATTTCCCCTTTCATTCCTCAAATCCTTGAGGAGAAGGTGGACAATAAAGGGGGTTAGGTCGGTTTGTCCAGACTTGCCCCAAACCCCGAGTCTGGCTCCCGGTTCTAGAAAATCCTAAACGTGTAAGAGAAAGGGGCTGGGGCGGCGTGGGGAGGAGGAAAGACGGGGCAGCCATGCTGGGGCAGCCATGGTGGGCAGGCGGGGGGGCAGGGGTCGATTTTCCGCCACGCCCCGAG